TAATGCTGGAATTGCTCAATTGTCATCATTTACTCTCCCTTCACTTGTTCTAAACCTGTTTGAGTTTCGCTCCTATGTTGAACCCAAAAGAAGATGTTTTGAAAAATGCTGAAAGCCTGTACCCATTGACTTCTGTAGTATTTTTGTCCTGCTACGCAAGTCAAGGTTTAAAAACTTCTAACATTCTTCAAAATATCTTCTTTTGTGTTCAACAGAGGAAAGAAGCCACTTGAGGTAGAATAAACAGTGATATTTTTATTTTGTTTTGGAATTTCTGTCTCTGTTTTACCCTTTAAAACCAGCCCTCTGCCAGTGTAACCAATTATATTTCAGCACCGCTGGTTGCCTTGGTGGAAAACACACTGCATTTCAGTAGAATTCATTCAATTCATTCATCAATTCATTTCAGACAGAAGCAGCTTCCAAATAAGATGCACACATTTAAGAACCAAACAAATGTCGAAACCATTTTTAACAATTTAATCCAGTTTAAAATCTGAAATGCCTTACCATGCCTGTTTTCCTACTACGCAAGTCAGTGTTTACAGGTTTGTAACATTCTTCAAAATATCTTCTTTTGTTGTTTTGTTGCTCCAAAAAAGCCACTTAAGGTAGAATGCACCACATTTGCATGTTTCTCCACAGCAGAAGTCATCAGAATTGGTACACTCAGAGCACACTGAATGGGAGGATTTATTAGCTGAAATAATAACAGAAAAACTCCAGGATGGTGTTATCAAGACTTTCAGAAAGAGGAAAACAATAGTGTGAGACTGATAATGGCCGGCAGAAGAGAGAATAATGTCAGATTTACTGTCCTGCCCCCATAGACTCTTCATTACAAACACCTCACACAAGCGGTGATTCGTTTATTGTAGTTTAATGTAAAGATGAGATAATACATACACATATAAATACTCATAATTTTTAAATATTAAAAACTTTCAAGGATTTAAAAGGCTCCATAAACAGGGATTCTTCCTTAACCGAGGTCTTCATCCTATTTTATTTGTTCTTTTTGTGCAGCTGTGCTCCTCATAACAATGGCAGACACACAGCCCACAGAGATGATGGAGGAGGACGAGCCCTTCTTCAGTAACTTGGACCTTTTCCTCTTCTCTCTCATTGCTGGCCTGCTGATCTATTGGCTGATCTTCCGCAAAAAAGCTGAACCCATTCCAGAGTTTAAGAAGCTGGAGACCGCGTAAGTACCTGGCGTCTGCATCTGACTGAAGCCCGGCTCACGCTGTGCAGTTTTTAATAAACCTGAATGACTGCAGCATGTCAGTCTGCACTAATATGATCTCTGTGTCACACTGTAAGATCCAAATACTAATTACAAATACTCAGATTACTGGAACTGAGTAGGTTTTCCCTCAGGAATTGTAATTTACCAAGTAGTTTTAATAATGTGCTTGTGCTTTCACTTTAGTACATTTTTAGTGCCGTGTCTGTACTTTACTTTTAATTTTTTGTTTGTTTGTGCGTGTGCACATGCATGTTCACGTTCATTTGTTTATTCATACTTTTATGCTTATGGTCAGCTTAAGTCAAATAATCAGTCCTGAGATTCTTGTCAGGTTTATTTTTTTATTTATTTACTTGTTAGTGCATTTGTTTGTTCGTGCGTGCATTCGTTCGTGCATTCGTTTGTGCGTTCATTCATTTGTGCATTCGTTCGTTTGTGCGTGCATGCGTTCGTTTATTCATTTATATCTATGGTTGGCTAAGGTAGAATAATCAGCCCTGAGATTTTTGTCAGATTTATTTTATTTATTGTTTTACTTGTTCGTGCGTTTGTTCGTTCTTTCGTTTGTTCATGTTGTGTGTTCATTCATTCGTTAATGCGTTTGTTCGTGCATTCGTTCGTGTGTTCGTTTGTTTGTTCGAGCATTTGTGCGTTCGTTTGTGCATTTGTTCGTTCGTGCATGCATTCGTTTGTTTGTGCGTGCATGCGTTCGTTTATTCATTTATATCTATGGTTGGCTAAGGTAGAATAATCAGCCCTGAGATTTTTGTCAGATTTATTTTATTTATTGTTTTACTTGTTCGTGCGTTTGTTCGTTCTTTCGTTTGTTCATGTTGTGTGTTCATTCATTCGTTAATGCGTTTGTTCGTGCATTCGTTCGTGTGTTCGTTTGTTTGTTCGAGCATTTGTGCGTTCGTTTGTGCATTTGTTCGTTCGTGCATGCATTCGTTTGTTTGTGCGTTCGTATATGCATTCGTTTGTTCGTGCATTCTTTCGTGCATTTGTTCGTGCATTCGTTTGTGCGTTCATTCGCTTGTGCGATCGTTCATTCATGTGTGCGTGCGTGCGTGCTTTCGTTCGTTCATTTATGTCTATGGTTGGCTAAGGTTGAATAATCAGTCCTGAGATTTTCGTCAGGTTTATACTGATGCAGATTGTCATCTATAAACTGAAAAAGCCTCCTTTATAGAACACCCATGAGTCCACAAAGTGGGTGCAAATGGATTTGCTATTTAAATAACGTGGCGCAAAACCTGAAAATTACACTTGCGCTGGTCTGAAAATAGCATTAATTCTCACCACACGTCTTGCGCCTTACTGCGCTGGGTATATGATGGGATAGTCTAAAATGCTACAAATAGTGCGTGTGTGCGTGGGTGCGTGCGTGTGTGCGTGCGTGCGTGCGTACGTGTGTGCGTGCGTGCATGTGTTTTTAATGCTGTTGTTCTGCTGACTTTGGAGTTGCAGGGACTGTTTATTGCTTGTCTAGCCTTGAAAAGTGTCATTGGCAAAGGTCAAAGCCAATGCCAGACTTTGTAGACACTCCTGAGCTTTTTTTTATTGAGATAACAAACTGTAGGACTTCCTCATGGTTGAAGGAGACATTTTGTGATTTATTTATATTTCTATCATGCGTCATCTGGCAGAAACACGCAGGAATATAATTAATTAAATGTAGAAAAAATCCTAGAATTGCTCCGTGAATGATGGCCTAATGTATATTTCCACATCATTTAAATGAAAAGAAGAAAAAATATTGCAGGAAATACTGTGAAAAGGTCATTGTATTAGTTGTGCTGTTATTTGTATTTTATTAAACAGTTAGGGTTGTAAATAACACTACTGGGTTCCTCACAATTCCTTCATGTTGTCCCAACATAAATTAAGTTAGCTTAATGGTTTTTACATGTTTAAGTGGATTGAACATCCCAAAATAAAACTTAAGAATTGTTTTGTTTCAGCTCATTTTGAATAAGTAGTTTGAACTACTAGCAAAATACCATTTTTTGAGTGTGTTTATTGAATATTTACTATTATATTTTACTACTTATATGTTTAATATTTATTATTTACTATTTATATAATTAATATGTGTTATTTATTACAGAAGTGCTGACATGAATGTAACCAATGTTGCTGATATGGCATTAAAATGTAAATGAATGAATGAATGAATGAATGAATGAATGAACAAATTAATAAATAAATAAACTAATGAATGAATGAATAAATGAATGAATGAATCAATCAATGAACAAATGAATAAATAAATGAATGAATAATATATAAATAAATAAATAATCGAATGAATGAATTAATTAATTATTGATTAATTAATAAATGCATTAATTAATTAATAAACGAATCAATGAATTAATAAATAAACGAATAAATGGACGAACGAATGAATAAATAAATGATTGAATGAATGGATAAATTAATGAATAAACAAATAAATGAATAAGTAAACAAATTAATAAATAAATAAGTAAATGAATGAATGAAAAAATTAATGAATGAATAAATTGGTCAATTAATGATTGAATGAATGAATGAATAAATAAATAAATAAACAAGTAAATCAATGATTGAATGAAAGAATAAGTAAACAAGTAAATGAATGAATGGATGAACAAACAAACAAATGAATGAATAAATAAATGAATTAATAAATAAGTAAATGAAGAATGAATAAATAAATGATTGAATGAATGAATAGATAAATAAATGAATAAACAAATGAATAAGTAAACATACTGATTAATAAATAAGTAAATAGATGAATGTATAAATTAATGAATAAATAAATTAGTCAATGAATGAATGAATGAATGAATGAATAAGTAAATGAATGATTGAATGAATAAATTAATGAATGATTAAATAAATCAATGATTGAATGAATAAATGAATGAATGAATTAATGCATGAATAAAGAAATAAATAAACAGGTAAATCAATGATTGAATGAATGAATGAATAAATAAATCAATGAATTAATAAGTAAATAGGTAAATGAATGAATGAATAAAACAAATGAGTAAATAAATAAATGAATTAATAAATAAGTAAATGAAGAATGAATAAATAAATGATTGAATGAATAAATTAATAAACGAACGAATGAATGAACGAATGAATGAATGAATAAATAAGTAAATGAATGAATAAACGAATGAAGATCGTTAAAATAGTTGTAATAGATCTGTAGAGTTTGGATAGAAAGAATTGTACTGTTATGGGGGAAAGCTTCAACTTTTTTTAAATCATGTAATTATTTTCTTTTTATGTCTATATACTGATTTTTTTTACTAATTTACTTTTAAAAAGGCTAAATAAAGTTTTGTGAAAATCAAAAATCTCTCACTCTCTCTTGTTATTGAATATTATGCACATAATAGTGTGTGTATTTGTTTCATAGCCATTAGTCAATGGATTTTGTATTTGGCAAAGCCAGCCAAGTCTTTCTCTTAGCCTAGCCAAAGGTGGAAAGTTGAGGCACAACACAAGCCCTCCATTATGTTCGCTCTGTTTTTCTTTTCCTTTCCCCCTTCACTCTCCCCATTTATGTGGAAACCATTTCCAATTTGTCTCGCAGCTCTTAGTGCCCGGCCCGTCACAGGAGGATCCTTTTATGATAGATGTGGTTGCCATGGCGACCCTTCTCTCCAGTGGGAGGGGCCAGCGAGTCACTGACTTTTTTTGGTTCAAATTCAGCAGCGCTGTCATTTCCAAAATCGTCACTCCAGCTCCAGCATTGCTACTGCTTCTGCTCTTGTCTGTTTTTCCTCTTGGAGAAGCTTTAAGAAGCTAGCCTTTCTCAAGTTTTCTTTTCATTCTGGAGAGGTCTGCGTGCTTCGGTTTTCACACATGGGATTTCATCAAATAGACCTGCTGCTATTGTTGTGTCCAGAACATCCACGTTGTTGAGACCATCAGGATTTACAACTGCAGGACACAACGCTGAACTCTATTGACATGCTGTCGGTCACTGTTTACCTTTATTTTAATGTAGTATGAAGGAACGCTGCTTTATTCTGCAATCAACACATGCAGATCACATCAGAGATCTCCTCCGGGTTCTCATTACGATTTTTTTGGACTACTTATGAACAGTGTTGGATCAGTTTCAACCCCTGTCTCTCTGCAGTCAGCATGTGCGACGTGTTGTTTCCGGTTTTGTCTCTCCATTGCGTTCTGTAGTTAATGGTTCATCAAGTTTTTGTGTTGTCACTTTTCTTGGACGTCGCAATGGGTTGTGTGTTCTCCTTACCGGAGGATCGGCTGGTCACGGTAGATAGGTGAGTGTTTACTTCAGTCACTGCCTATGTTTCCATATTAGATTCATGCTTAAACTGTGTAGACATTATAAAACATTACAATTCCGTCGAATGAGAAACTAAAGAGAAGACAATACCCGCATCCTGATAAACTGGAGCAGATATCAGTCAGAGAAATGTAGTTTAGTGTGTTGGGATTTGCCACTGTGGTGTTTTTCTGCTCTAATAAATGAGTTGCGCCTCAGAAGACGAAACGCAATGAACGCAATGTGGTGGCTTTTGCACATTTAAAGGGTCACGAAACACCAAAACACATGTGTTTGAGCTGTTGACAGTGGTATATGTGTCCCACACTGCTAAAAACACTATTAGGACACCTATATTTCACTAAAAATTGTAAATTGGTTGTTTTTGCGTTATTTCAAGCAAATTTGTACTTCCGGTTTGAAACGAATTTTTGAAGCTGCGTAACGGTCATGACATAATAGCGTGTATTCCAGCGTGCAGACTGGACGTCTGTGCCAGAGTGAGTCTTATTACGTCCTACAGTGTGCTGCATTAATGCAGGAGTAAGGCTTGGTTCAAACCAATCAGCGCGCTCTATTGTGCAACTTCATTAATATTCATTACTGTCACAGTGTTTAGACGACAGAGACGCCACGTTGTGTTGGCAAAACAAGCGTGAAGTGTTGCTTTTATAGTTTGCTGCAGTTCAGTTTTGTTTTCATTTTCTCTCTGTGAGAGCTCAGCTGGAGTCACGTGTGGATTAACAGTGTACGCGACGCTCGACAACAATAACTTACGTGTCTAAGGAGGATTATTGTTTACCTGAGAGCTGTTCTCATCTGCAAACGCTGAGATCCGGATTCGCTTGTAGTCTCCTCTTAATAAAGACGCGGCTCTAGTTGCTGGTGATTGTCCTGTCTCTACAGATTTGGTAAGTGAGCGACCAGTGCTCTTTGTTTATTCAGTTTGTTCGTATCGAACTAACTATTGTACCGAGTGTAAACATGTTAGCACCACAACCAAACTTTAACCTCGTGGAGGATTTTCACCGCATTTAGTGACCGGAATAACACACGCGGCTTTCTGACGCTACCTGCCGTGTGCATCTAAGTTTCCGGGAAATGTTGAGTTTGTTTTTTCTCTCATTCGCCGTGCAGTATCAAACATTGCATGCAAAACACACGCTTAGAGCAGTTCCTCAAATCAAATATCTCGTTTGTCGTGAGGGACATGAATGAATTCTCTGAAAGAAAGAGCCAAACTGCAGTTAAAGTCCACCATTTAATAATTTGGCAAAATATTTCAACTACAGATGTCCATGTAGGTTAAACACCATCACTTTCTCCTGTGTGTGTGTGTGTGTGTATTTTGACTCTGAAACTCGCGCTTGCCCAAATAGACACTCCCACACCCTCCCACTTTAGTTCACCTCCGACACTCCCTCCTAAACAGAGCTGGACACGCCCACTTTTCTGACTTTTTCCAAAGTAGAGGTGTGAAAACACCCTGCTGAAACGAGGGGGTTTCATGGCCCTTTAATGCTATCTAAAAGTAATTCCTTAGCTCTTTTTTGACACTTAACACAATTTTGAGTGGAATCTCCTCATCCATTCTCAATGTGCAGCATCTACCTAGATGATACGACAGCAGCCATATTGCTAGACCGCACTCCACACACTAGCTGATTGGTGGAGAGGAGACCGAGTGATGAAGCTAGTTATGATATGGGGATTGTTAGGAGGCCAGGATGTCGTGGTGAAACCCCTACTCTTTTTCGAAGGACATCCTGGGATTTTTAACGACCCCAGAGAGGACCTCGGTTTAACGTCTTATCAGAAAGATGGCATGCACTGAGCAGTATAGAGTCCCCTTCACTATACTGGGGCGTTAGGACCCACACAGACCGCCTCGCTAACGCCACTTCCAGCAACAACTTAGTTTTCCCATGTGGTCTCCCATCCAAGTACTGACCGGGCGCAGCCCTGCTTAGCTTCAGTAGGCGACCATGTGAACTGGCAAAGTAGACCTGATAGGTTGATGCGTTGTCGTTAAGTGTGACATCACGCGACACGGCTTTCGGGTTCAAGTGCTATATCAAACTGTATGGGGAGACTCATCAATTGGTAATTAAAAAGGTTTACAAAGCGCTGTAACACTTTCGAAAATCAGGATCGCAATGTATATATCCATGCCTAATATCCAATGGCCAGAAAGTGATTAATTTTTTATTAATTGTTAAAAGTTTGGTATTTGTGATGCAGCAAGCCCTAAGACTGTTGTGTACACTATAATTTTATATAAAATTAACTTTAATGTGTGAAAGGATTAAAACGTGTCCATGAACAAATATTTTCCCAATATAAATGATTGGAGGCCTGGACCCGGAAACAGTATTTCATACGTCACCGATATGTCATGACTTAACAAGCGGATTAAATAGTCTTTAGAGAGCTAAAGTGGCAATATGCCGACTCTGTTGACTTTTTCTATCCAAAAATAGTCCATAATGTTGAATTTCATTACTATACTCTCATCCCAAAAAGTACAAAAACTCACCCAACAGATTTAAAGGGCACCTATCATGATAAAATCACTTTTATAAAGGGGTTTAAACACAGTTGTGTGTCAGCAGTGTGTGACTATATCCAGGCTCTAATGGTTAAAATTATTTAATGTTATTTGTAAAACAACATTTGGTAAAAACATCTGTAGCTCCGCCCTCTTCTGAAAAGAGCACCATCTCATTTGAATTTAAAGCGACAGTCACCAAAACGCCACAATTAGGATTAAAGCCTAAAAAGTTCAGTTTTAGAGAGCTATATTAACATTATATGTGTGATATTTTGAGATGAAACTTCAGACACACACACTCTAGGAATATCGGACACTAATTTTACATCTTGTAAATAAAAAGGGGCAAAAATAGGTCTGATTTAGGGTGCTTTAACACCTACACTGTTGTTTGGGAACCTGTCTCGTTTGCCCGGTTAGCGGGGTTCGTTTGGCATATGTGAAACCACCAATCGCTCTCGGATCTGCTCCAAATCAATCGCTCCGAGATCGCTTGAATGAGGGGGTCTCGGCTCGATTGAAACGAACTCTGGAACGGATCGATTGCCTTTAGAAAGCAATATGATCCGAGCGTGGTTATATCACAGGGCTTTATGGATATGTAATAGGCTTACGGCTATATGAAGAGAGAATTATGAGTAGGGCAGGAAGTTTCGCGAGTCTCCGGATGCCCACAAACGAGTGATGATCTACCGGTAATCTCACGTCCCCCTTCCGGTCCTCAAATAGGCATCGCCGCGCACCCTTCTCACCCCTCCCCACCGCATCTCTCCTCAGACACGTTGCGCACCTTGTCAAACACCACCAAACCACCACCTCTCCTGACAGCTGAGCGGGACGCTGCAACATAAACCCTGACACTCTGGCCAATGTGAGGAAAGTTTACTCACACGTGACTTGTTTTAGCTCTTTTGGTCCGATTAGAAACTTTGCAGTGTGAAAGTGAACCGCTCCAAGAGCAAAGAGCAACAATGTAACAATTGTAATCTCTGTTTCGGAACAACTGAATCGATTCACAGGTGTGAAAGCAGCCTTAAATGACATCCTAAATCTTAGCTTTTGCACCACTGTCTATTGGTAAAGACATGCACTGGATCAAAATGTTTGTCCATGAATTTGAAACCTTAGCATTTGTTTGTACATATTTAAGTAAAAACATCATTGAATGTACTTACTTATAATTCTTTCTGTGTTTTCTAGGGCTCCGACCACTAGGGACACCAGTTTTATTGACAAGATGAAGAAAACGGTAAGACTTTTATTTCCTGTGCTCCAGAGGTTGCCAAGTTGCATTAAAATTTTAAGACTTGGGTGTTTCTGAAACATATAATATTTAAAGGCATACTATGTAAGATTTAATATGTCATGGTTCTATTAGACTGCACATAGCAGCATTATAACAGAAGGCTAAAATGTATTTACTCTAATAAAACAGTGCTGCTTTTATTCCCACATGATCACGTTATGAAGAACCAGTAATGGTGGATTGTGGCTGTTTTTGTGCTTCCCGCTAGTTTCTCATCAGAAATTGCTTAAGAGTTTCTCTTCTTTCAGTGATACTCTGCTTTATACTACTATGATAACAAGTGTTGGAAACTTTAGCTCATCCACCAAAATGATTTCAACAGGAATCCCTTAGGGAGTAATCAAACTATGCCTTTATTTGTTGTGAACATGCGCCCTCTAGTGGCGAAATTTACAACAGTTACAAACCTGGCTGTTATCTTGGAATAAAATTCCATGTAATGTCACGACTGACCAATCAGAATCGAGTATTCCAGACAGCCGTGTGATCTTTTGTTTTTGACCTTCCAGGGTAAGAATATCGTGGTGTTTTACGGCTCTCAGACCGGCACAGCGGAAGAGTTTTCCAACAGACTCGCTAAAGATGCTCATCGCTACGGCATGAAGGGGATGGCAGCAGACCCGGAAGAATATGATTTGGTAACACATATGAAATTACTCCTGATTTTGCAATTTATGCTTCATATTCAATATAATCGCATTACAGAAACGCCCTCACATTTGATTTTACCTTTGCTCTTATGTGCTTCATATTGCAACACAATATGATCGCATAATAGAGGCGCTGTACCACATTAAAGATGGATTTGGCTAGTTTTAGACCACGTTTTTCGGAAATTTTACAGTTTAAACCATTGGGTAACACTTTGATTTAGGTCGCAATTAACAAACCATTAACTTACACTGCTAGCTTAATAAACTACTAATTAACTGTTATTAATTGTTAGTTAGGTAGAATTTGGGTTTAGGATTGGGGATGAAGAATAATCATACTTTATAACTATTAATGAACAGTTCATATCTTAATAACGGGCAGGTAATAGGCCAGTAGTTAATAGCATGAATTGTGACCTAAAGCCATAGATATATACACTAGATATCGCTTAGGGACTCTGAGCATGCGTCAATAGCGCCGCCACATTGGTACAGTGCTCCCAGGACAAATGTCATTCAACCGCACTAGTCAAGACAGTGTTATTATGTGAAGATGCGGGACTTTAACGCTGTCTACGAGTGTAGTAACGAGCAAACAAAGAAAACAAAGCACAAAGGCAGAACATTTCATAGGTAATATTACGTTTTTTTCTGTTTTTGTATGTTCTGAACTTTTGTGCTAATCAGGTAACGTTATTGAAGATAACAGTCACTTTCTGCATTCACTATAAGTCAAAGCAGCTCCAACTCGAACTAAACACTCGGCTTATGCTAGTTTTGTTGAATAAAATCAGCAAACAATGCAAAAGAAATATGACAACGAGATGCTGCGCTGCCAGAAACTTGTATTATTGTCGGCTGGTGAAAGAATCGTTCGGGGGATTCATTCACAAACGAATCGCTCCCTCCGTCAGTATGAGGAGTGAAAGCAGGAGAGGAGCTGTGTTTCAGGACATGATTAGATCAAATTTAACAGGGAGGGTGGATAGTACATTTCTGTACACACAAACACAAGCTTTTTGTCAGGAATGCCCGTGCGGTCACTGATCCATCAATGTAGAAAAGTGACGTAAAATTATAATTTTCGTAATTAGAAAAAAAAAATGACATACTAACATCCAGGAAAACTCCCGATCATAGATATATGTGTATATGTGTATATCTCTGGCTTTGGATGGCCACAGTCCTCCACTGTACCTTGGTCCTGCACTCATTTCAAAGGAGCGCTACCCTGTAGCAAGATGGCGGCGCTATTGACGCATTCCGTCCAATAGACAACAATAGGCCAGGCAACATCTAATGTATATATCTATGACCTAAAGCGTTAGCAACCTTTGTAGTTAATTAGCCATCTTACAGATGATTTTCAGACACACTTTTTCATCTTTTGTACTTGATTGCACACACTTTTGCTTTCAGAGTGAGCTTTCTCGTATGGGGGAGATCGACAACTCTTTGGCGATCTTCTGCTTGGCCACCTATGGAGAGGGCGACCCCACCGATAATGCCCAAGACTTCTATGATTGGCTACAGGAGGCTGATGCTGATTTTAGCGGACTTAAATATACAGTGAGTTCACCATCATTGATATCACATGGTTTTTATATGCAAAAACACCTTCTGGAGAACATTTAGACTGGGTGACACTGGGTCAGTTGGCGTTTCTGTGTGGAGTTTGCATGTTCTCCCTGTGTTGGCGTGGGTTTCCCCTACAGGTCAAACAAATGCGCTATAGAGGAATTGAATAAGCTAAAATGACCGTAGTGTGTGTGAATGTGAGAGTGTATGGGTGTTTCCCAGTACTGGGTTGCATTACTGTGTAAAACATATGCTGGAATACTTAGAGGTTTCAATGATCTATGCTAAGCTAAGCTAAAATTGAGACCTGGAGATCGACTAAATGGATTAAAAATTGGTAAAACTTAACAGTTTTACGCTAGAGAGTTGTACAATGAGCGTATTTTTTGGAGTGTTTTGGAGTGTTCCTTCAAGTATGTAATCTCAGGCTTTTAGCTTGAGCATTTAGAAGCATTTTACTGCACACAAATTCACTTTTTAGATTAGAAACAAAATTAACTAAACTAAAAAAGTGTTTCCAATACGTTAGGTACAATGCTCAAACATGAATGACTACACCTCTATTGAAAATAAATATTTTTATCCATTTTTCAGTCAATGTAGGTCATATGTTTGGGTGCATTTGAACAAAACAGATTTATTAAATATTGAAATATTATTTTAGTCACTGAACATCTTTAGAAACAGAAAGATAAAAACATTTAAATTAATGCAAAATATTGCAAAAATAAATTTTATATATATGTTTTTTGTTTCTCTTAAATTTTACTTCTTTAAATATTTTTATTTAATATTTCCTCTAACATATAAATTTGGGTGTGCTGATTTTGGACCGTTATCATGAGTTATTTGTTAGATAAGATCTAGATTTGGCTTCAGTACTGACTAATCTAATGTAGATGCACAAATATAATATTGTAGAGCTTCCTATAGAAAATATTCATGCGAGATTTGTGAGGGCTGAGCTCATATGTGCTGAGCACTGTATTTTCCAACACATGCTTGCTTGAGCAAACAAGACCCATGACACGATGACAGTAAAGCAGAAGTGATTCTGGGGTTTGCTGTGTCATTCTTCTGTTCGCCAAAGTGTCAGACGGTTTAATCTATAGTTACTACACAGACACTGTGCAAAGTTCAGTGACTCAACATAATCTACTGGGGGGAAAGAAAAAAAAAAACATTGACCAAACAGATTTACCCTCTAGTTTAGCAGAAATTACAAGTATGACTGAGCAACTTTAGAGATGAGAGAATACAGTAGTTATTTTGTCATTATTTACTCGCCTTCATGCCATTCCAAATTCATATGCTGTTGTTTTATAGAGTCAGATCAGTCACATTTACAAAATAAAATCCATACAAAGTTCACATTTACAAAATCCGATCAATAAATTCTAAACACAATTCGTAAATATGCAAATCTAATTTGTAAATTTAAAACACAATTCATAAATATGCAAATCTAATTAGTAAATTTAAAGCACAATTTGTAAATTCAAAGCACAATTGATTAATATGCTAATTCAATTCATGAATTCAAAACAGTTCATACGTATGCAAATCCAATTCATAAATTCAAAACACAATTTTTTAATATGCAAATTAAATTCATAATTCAAAACAGTTCATAAATATGAAAATCTAATTTGTAATTTCAAAACACAATGTGTGAATTTAAAACACAATTTGTAAATATGCAAATCCAATTCATAAATTCAAAACTGTTCATAAATATGCAAATTCAATTCGTAAATTTAAAACACAATTTGTAAATATCCAAAATCCAATTTGTATATTCAAACTCAATCTGTGAATTCAAAGCACAATTCATGAATATGCAAATCTAATTCATACATTTAATACACAATTTGTAAATATGCAAATCCAGTTCGTAAATTCAAAACTGTTCATAAATATGCAAATCCAATTCATAAATTTTTTACTAAACTCATAAATATGCAAATCCAAGTCATACTTTCAAAACACAATCTGTGAACTCAAAACACAATTCGAAAATATGCATATCCAATTTGTATATTTAAAACACAACTAATAAATATGCTAATTCAATTCATAAATTCAAAACACAATTCATAAATATGCAAATCCAATTCATAAATTGAAAACACAATTTGTTAATATGCGAATTCAATTCATAAATTTGAAACAGTTCATAAATATGTAAACCCAATTCATGAATTTAAAACACAATTCATAAATATGTAAACCCAATTCATGAATTTAAAACACAATTCATAAATATGCAAATCCAATTCATAAATTTTAAACTAAATTCGTAAATATGAAAATCCAAATCATAAATTCAAAACAATCTAGAAACTCAAAACACAATTCATAAATATGAAAAGCCAATTTGTAAATTTAAAAAAAACTTTTCATAAATATGCAAATCTAAATAATAAATTCAAAACACAATGTGTGAATTCAAAATACAGTTTATAAATATGCAAAAACAATTTGTAAATTAAAAACACTATTTATAAATATGCAAATCTAATTAACAAATTTAAAACACAATTCATTAACATGCAAATCCAATTCGTAAATTCTAAACACAGTTCATGAATTGGATGCAAATCCAATTCATCTGGGGAAATATTTATGATTATTACTAATGCTCAAAAATCTGCACACACAATAACCTATCCCTATTGTAGGTATAAATAAATTAATGAATATACTGAATGGCGGGACTATAAATAATATGTGCGCATGACCTTATTTACAGGTGTTTGCACTGGGCAATAAGACATACGAGCACTACAACGCCATGGGGAAATATGTGGACAAGAGACTGGAGGAGCTGGGGGCGCAGAGAATCTTTGACCTGGGAATGGGAGACGACGATGGAAAGTGAGTGACAAAATAAAACATGATTAAAAAATGATGAGCTCACACCAATTTCTGTTTAATGAAAGAAGATTTCTTCAACACATTTCTAAACATAATAGTTTTAATAACTCATTGACAGGTGAAAATCTGATCTACCTGCTTACACTGCAGACGCGAGAGCACAGATCGGATTCATATCGAATAAATTTTCACATATGAACAAAGCCTGAATCTGATTTGAGTAAATCAGGAATGCATGTGATCTGTTCCTGCTTACACGGGCCAAATCCGATCCATGCCACATGGGAGAACTAAATCGGAATTGAATCACTTGAACAGTGCAGCGTAAATGCGGCGAAAATGTCTAAAGTTATGACAAAACAGCTCACATTTTAAGATTATAAGGCTGAACAGCATGAAATGCCATCAGTCTACAGAGATTTCCCAGTATTTCTCTGTTGCGATCAGGATATCACAATAATTAACCCCAAAAAAGCCATTACTATGATTACTATATTATAATTACAGCACATTACACGAGTAGCAGTGCGATATGGCTGTGTCTCGGCACTGGTGGGAGGCGTGCGTTGGCTTGAGGCTGCAGACCAAGTGCTTTAGTGTCCCAACAGTGCCGATATACAGCCATATCGCACTAATATGAGTGTGATATTGCGTTTATACAACAGTTCAACGGCATAATCCTGTATATAAAAAGGAAGATCAAACATTATGCTTTCGTACGAGGAACTACTTTCTTCCGCCATTCATTCACATCTGCTGCTGACGTCAGAACAGCAGAAACCATTGCTGCTTCACTTTAGAGCTAGTACTTGAATGATTCTCTAGCGTAATGTCTAAAGTGATGACAAAACAGCTGATTTTCGCTCACATTTTAAGATTATAAGGCTGAACAGCATGAAATGGCATCAGTCTACAGAGATTTCCCAGTATTTCTCTGTTGCGATCAGGATATCACAATAATTAACCCCAAAAAAGCCAAAGCAAACACTAGCAGATTGCTATGGTAAAAATACAGCACTCTGTGTCTGGGAATAACTAATGTGGAGACGTTTGAACAAACTGAAGTTATTTGTGCTTGTTTTTTCTCTCCTTCAGTCTGGAGGAGGACTTTGTGTCTTGGAGGGAGCAGTTCTGGCCGGCTGTTTGCGAACATTTTGGCGTTGAGGCGACCGGTGAAGAGTCCAGGTTTGAACGATCTTTCTTTTGTTCCTCTTTTCCTCTTTTGTTTTGCGGGTCACGGTGACCCGAGCTCAGCATCCCCTTCTGGGCTGATTAACAACACTTACAGGCCTTTTCAGATCAGAATACACTTTGGTGTACAAAAGCTGAACAGTCTTCAGAGTAAAGTAATAGTTGCTTTGGTTTGTAATGTGTTCTCTCTCTCTCTCTCCCTCTCTCTCTCCTCTCTCTCGCTCTCTCTCTGTCAAATTCAGTTCATCTAAGCTTCATTGGCATGACTAGCACAGTGTTTCCAAAGCATTGTCCAGTACATGATTATAACAATAATATATAATAATAGCTATATAGGGGCGAAGTAGTGGCGCAGTAGTTAGTGCTGTCGCCTCACAGCAAGAAGGTTGCTGGTTCAAACCTAGGCTCAGTTGGCGTTTCTGTGTGGAGTTTGCATGTTCTCCGGGTTTCATCCGGGTCCTCCGGTTTCCCCCACAGTCATAAGACATGCGGTACATCCGGTGTGTGTGTATATATATATATATATATATATATATATATATATATATATATATATATATATATATATATATATATATATATATACATAAATAAGAGCAATATTACATGAGTAGCAGTGCGATATGGCTGGGAAATATGTGTGATCTCGGCACTGGTGGGAGGCGTGCGTTGGCTTGAGGCTGCAGAAAGAGTGCCTTAGTGTCCCACCAGTGCTGATATACAGCCATATCGCACTAATATGAGTGTGATATTGTGTTTATACAACAGTTTAACGGCATAATCCTGTATATAAAAAGGAAAATCAAACATTATCCTTTCGTATGAGGAACTACTTTCTTCCGCCATTCATTCACATCTGCTGCTGACATCAGAACAGCAGAAACCATTGCTGCTTCACTGTAGAGCTAGTACTTTAATGATTCTATAGCGTAATGTCTAAAGTGATGACAAAACAGCTGATTTTTGCTCACATTTTAAGATTATAAGGCTGAACAGCATGAAATGCCATCAGTCTACAGAGATTTCCCAGTATTTCTCTGTTGCAATCGGGAGATCACAATAATTAACCCTGAAAAAGCCATTACTATGATTACTATGGTATAATTACAGCACAACAACATACAAATAAGAGAGATCGACTTAGAAAGTCACTTCCCAGTTTTATAATGATTTTTATCAGCAGTAGTTTGAAATTACGCTGGGTTTTTCTTCTCTAAGGGCTTATTACGCTGTGTCTGTCGCCACCTTGTGGTGGAGTGTTTGCTCTGCTCAGTATGACAGGCTGATGGCTGCCAACATGCTGAATCTCCAAAATTATAAATATTTTAAAATTGGCACTATCCCTATAAATAAACTGCATAGTTGCAATCTAAACAACTACACCCTGCCTAAAGGCCTCAAAAGTACATTATGTTGTCCAACAGCTGCAATATTTGTAAAGCTTTAGTGGGTTGTTTAGTCCCTCTTAAGTCCTAGTGCGGGCGGAGTAATACACAAGGGTGAAGAGGTTGAAAACAAGAATGGATCTGTAAAATAATTAAGTATACAGGTGCATGCATGCTATATACAAAGTGCATTGATATGGAAATAAAATTAATAATAACATTAAAAAGACCTTTTTTAATAATAAAAAAAGAATAGTAATAAAAATAACAACTTTGTTCAACAGTATTATTTATAAATACTTTTTAAAAATGATTTATATAAATATATATAGTATATTTATTTATTTACACATACACAAAAACATACAATTAGAAATTTTATAAATACATATAAAAATATGAAAAAAGACCAATGTGATTGTTAAAAGATCATTAAAAGAGAATAATAATATTATTATTATTAGTAACACTAAATATAAATATAAAATACAATACACAACTGCCTCTCTCTGTGTTTTCTGATGCTTTAGTTTTTTGTTTGTACATTTGAAGGTTATATTTTCTTATGGTTGGTTCCATTTTTTTGGTGTCAAGTTTGCAAAAAAAAAAAAAAATGTGTTAAAATTATTAATTTTGTTTTTGGAAAAGCAAAAATATCCATTTACCTAACATGACTAGAAAGGACAGAGGGTGAAGTTGGTCAAGATGTGCCACAAGATTTTAAGAGGTTACTCAAAGTCCGAATTTATTTTGATTTCAAATGTGTGGAATATTGAAGGATTTGATGATGTGTTAAAGATGGAGAACGCATGTCTTGAGTGAAATGTACGTTTGTATAGTATAACATTTTAAATGTACCAAAAATCTCTTTCTCTCAATTCAATTCAATAATTGCTTTATTGGAATGACAAATGTTACAAATGAATTGCCAAAGCATTTATAAAGTTTATATAAAATTAAAAGAACATACATATTTAATAAAAACACAGTAAACAGTAGCAGTAGTAGTAGTAAAAAAATAAATAAAGGATATAAACATATAATAATTAAATAAAAATATAAATTATATATCTTATTAATCAATGTATCATATTATTATTATTCAATATATCTTATTCAATAAATTACATATTCAATATGTTATATCAATTATATCATATTATTCATTTATAAAGTTTACATAAAATTAAAAGAACATACATATATAATAAAAACACAGTAAACAGTTTTAGAAGTAGTAAAAAAATAAATAAATAAAGGATATATGCGTATAATAATTAAATAAAAATAAAAATAATACATTTTCATTCAAGATATAAATAGTCAATATATTATATTATTTATATATATATATATATATATATATATATATATATATATATATATATATATATATATATATATATATATATATATATATATAAATTCAATATATCATGTTATTATTCAATATATCATATCATTCATATCATATTATTCATTTATAACTATAAAAATAATAATAGATCAGAATAAACTGTTCATTTAACAATCAACATTTTAGGATAAAACAGTAATAACAGCAATAATAATCAGTATATTTACATGATTCACCATGACATACAATGATCTCTCTCTCTCTCTCAGCATCCGTCAGTATGAGCTGAAGGTACACACTGATCTGAACATGAATAAAGTCTACACTGGAGAGCTGGGACGACTCAAGAGCTTTGAGAACCAGAAACCGTGAGTAAAACACTTCTTATTTTCCTATTAAAGGGACCTATTGTGCTAAAATAACTTCTCTAAGGGGTTTAAACAGTTGTGTGTCAGCAGTGTGTGAATATATCCAGCTTCTAATGGTATTGTGTATAATCAGACTTGATGAAATCAGTCTGCAGAAACACTTTGATTGACATTCTCTCTTTGTACGTGTCTTGAGAGAGGGAAAAACCCCAAAAAAACCCGCCCACTGGTAACCATCTCTTCCTCATTAGCATGAACAGCTCTGAGTGAGAAGCAGCTGTCTGTCCACTTCTGCTCTTATTTAACCCTGGTTAACTACTGAGCCTCCAAGACAACTGTTAATTTACTGTCTGTCATTCATTATGTGTTTCTCACAGACCCTTCGATTCGAAGAACCCTTTCCTGGCACCAGTTACTGTGAACCGCAAACTCAATAAAGGCGGCGAGAGACATCTGATGCACCTGGAGCTGGACATCACAGGCTCCAAAATCAGGTACAATCTGCAGGATGGTCGACTCCAACACACTTATCACTGGATTAATTACATCTACACATTTCAAGATGTTTTCAAGTCTCTCCAAAAGAGTGCCTCCTGTCTTTTATTTATACAACCGCAAATCAGAAAAAGTTAGGACTGTAGGGAAAATGCTAATTAAAAGAAAAAGTGATTTCCAAACTTACTTTGACCTGTGGGAGAGGCAGTGGCGCAGTAGGTAGTGCTGTCGACTCACAGCAAGAAGGTCGCTGGGTCGCTGGTTCGAACCTCAGCTCTGTGAACATTTCTGTGTGGAGTTTGCATGTTCTCCCTGCCTTCGAGTGAGTTTCCTCTGGCTGCTCCGGCCTGAATTGAGTAGGCTAAATTGTCCGTAGTGTATGAGTGTGTGTGTGTGGATGTTTCCCAGAGATGGGTTGCGGCTGGAAGGGCATCCGCTGTGTAAAAACTTGCTGGATAAGTTGGCGGTTCATTCCGCTGTGGTGACCCCGGATTAATAAAGGGACTAAGCCGACAAGAAAATGAATGAATGAATGAATGAATGTTTCACATCATCATTTCAGTAATTGACCTGATTAGTAGCCCTGAACTGCTCCTGTCACAATGTTGAAATGTTTAAAATGTGTTGTTAAAGCCAAAATTGCATTAATTTTGAGGAAAAAAAACAGTAATAATTAGAGGAACACATTAAATAATGTTTGTTGCATTGTCTGCAGTGAAACACAAGTCAAAGTACATTTAGAAATCACTACTTTGTTTTTTTAATTGCATTTTTCATACTGTCCTAACTTTTTCTGATTTGGGTTGTATGAATACTTTTGTGTGTATGAGCAGTCAATTATAAAATTTTGACTGATGTTGACATCTACATAGCTGAATAACTAACTGATTAAACACTTCCATGAATTTATAGTGGTGATTTAACGTTTGTTTTTTGCTGTCGAAGAATTTATAATTCATATTTAAAATGTGGTTATAAATGTATGTGGGAGAGGCTGTGGCGCAGTAGGTAGTGCTGTCGCCTCACAGCAAGAAGGTCGCTGGTTCGAACTTCGGCTCAGTTGGCGTTTCTGTGTGGAGTTTGCATGTTCTCCCCGTGTTGGTGTGGGTTTTCTCCGGGTGCTCCGGTTTCCCCCACAGTCCAAAGACATGCGGTACAGGTGAATTGGGTAGGCTAAATTGTCCGTAGTGTATGAGTGTGTGTGTGAATGTGTGTGTGGATGTTTCCCAGAGATGGGTTGTGGCTGGAAGGGCATCCGCTGCGTAAAAACTTGCTGGATAAGTTGCCGGTTCGTTCCGCTGTGGCGACCCCGGATTAATAAAGTGTCTAAGCCGACAAGAAAATGAATTAATGAATGAAATGTATGTGATGGTGAACTTTTACAGTACAGTAAAGTCAGTTCACGGTTAAATATTTACCCTGCTATAATAGACTAAAGGGACCTCTGGTGTCATTCATGGCATTACATCATGAAAAGATAGCAAGAGGATTGTAAAAGTGTTTCACATGACCACCACTGTAGGCTAAGGTTAATGACTGGATCCAAAGTGTGTGTGTGAGCATGTGCATGAGCATGTACAGTTAAAGTCAGAATTATTAGCCCCCCTGTTTATCTTTTCCCCAATTTCTGTTTAACGGAGAGCAGATTTCTTCAGCACATTTCTAATCATAATAGTTTTAATAACTCATCTCTAATAACTGATTTATTTTCTCTTTGTCATGATGACAGTAAATAATATTAGACTAGATATTCTTCAAGACACTTCAATACATCTTAAAGTGACATTTACTTCAAAGGACTTTATTTTCAAAGGCTTAACTAGGTTAATTAGGTTAACTAGGCAGGTTAGGGTAATTAGGCAAGTTATTGTATATACGATGGTTTGTTCTGCAGACTGTCGAGAAAAAATCCATAGCTTAAAAGGGCTAATAATATTGACCTTAAAATGATGTTTAAAAAATTAAAAACTGCTTTTATTCTAGCCGAAATAAAACAAATAAGACTTTCTCCAGAAGAGAAAATATTATCAGACATACTGTGAACATTTCCTGAATCTGTTCAACATCATCTGGGAAATATTTAAAAAAGAAAACAAATATTGTGTGTGTGTGTGTTTTTTGCGTGTGAGCTTTGCGTGTGTTTTTTGCGTGTGTTTATGCATATGCATTTCCATGTTTGTGTGTGTGTGAGCATGTTTGTGCATGCGTATGTTTGTATTTTTTTAAAAATTCAATTAGTTCCAACTTTGTTTGAGTGTGTCAGCATGTTTAAGTGTGTGTTTGAGTGTGTTTGTGTTTTTGTATTGTTTTTTGTCTCTGTGTTAGACTGTGTGTGTCTGTGTTTGCGTGTGTGCGTCTATTTCTGTGCGCGTTTCTGTGTTTGTGTGTAAGCCAGCGGGTGTGTGTTCCCTGCAGGCACAGAACGTCAACATGACGTCAAATTGACGTTGTACCCCAACGTTGCGAGGACGTTGTATTTTCGTTGGAAATGAAAATTAGGTTGACGTCATATTCCAATGACAGGCTGACGTGAGTGTCCAATGTCCAACCAAATATCAACGTCTAATCATGTTACACCTTGACGTTGTGTGGGCGTTACCACTATGACGTCCATCAGATGTTGGATTTTGGTCACTTTCCAACACAACCTAAAATCAACGTAATTTGACGTCGTTATTGGACATCAAAATAACGTTGTGCGTAGACGCTGGCTAGACATTGAATTTTGGTCACCTGAAGTCATGAGCTAAAGCGAACCTGATATAAAGTCTTATGGGTTAGAGAAGTGTGTGTGTGTTTGTGTAATCGCATGGATATGTTTGCATGTCTGTGTGCGTGTTTTATGTGCCTCTGTGTGGGATCTACACAGTTTATTGACGGGCGATGTGATTATTGTGCTCAGATACGAATCAGGAGACCATGTCGCAGTGTACCCCATCAACGACACAGCAATGGTGAACAAGATCGGGGAGCTGCTTGCTGTGGATCTGGACACTGTGATCTCCCTCAACAACCTCGACGGTAAGACACTAACATTAACAGAAGGAACGATCAGTACAGCTGAAATAAGAATCATTGTATATTTTGACCCAATAATTGGGGATTAATCATGACTGTATATCGCTGAAGTCTGTGCTTTTTTAATCTCTAATTGCAGAGGAGTCCAATAAGAAGCATCCGTTCCCCTGCCCGACCACATATCGTACAGCTCTGACTCATTATCTGGACATCACAAACTCTCCACGCACAAATGTACTTTATGAACTGGCACAATACGCCAGCGACCCCAAAGATCAGGAGAACATGAGGAAAATGGCCTCCTCTTCAGCTGAGGGCAAAGTAAGCAGCGCTGGCATTACACACACATTCACTGATAACCTGCAGTTAATACAGGATTCATGTACTTGCAAAATGAATGTTTCTATTGTTATGTTGCAACTAGGGCTGGGCGATCAAATCAGTATCGATATTTATTGACCAAACACCATTGTCAACATCGGTAATAACAAAAGATTCAGTATGTAGTTTTGGTATGAGGCGCTATAGCACTGAGCGCGCACCTTGGAAGTAGAGATCTGCGCGGGACTAAATTTTGAATCCCGCCCGCACCCGCCAGGTTTTAGCCCGAACCAGACCGCTCCCGCTTATATTAAGAATTTATTGTCCTGCTGCCCGACCCGCCCCGTTTTCTGGCCGCCGCGCCCGATCCCGCTAAAGATCGGGGGAGAACAAAACCGAAAATCACCCAGCTATACAGTCCAGACAGCCAAGCTGTCTGTATAAACACACACACAGCACCAAGCACACACACACATAGACAAATCTCTATCTCTCTCATACGCGCGCGCGCACACTAACACACACACAAGCACCAATCAGACACACAGGCGTTTGCTGTTATATCAATTCAAAGGCTTGTAATACCATGTACCAAGTACCAATGTAATACCAAAGGGTTTTATATAAAGGTATGTAAATACTGAGTCGCGCCAGCTCCGGGCCGCAGCGCACATCACTCTCGGGCCGATTCCGGCGCGGATGCGGCAGCGTCGGCTCGCTTACGGCCGCCGCATCTGGCCCGATTGATTCGGGCCGGAATCGGGCAGTGAGTCCACAAGCATCCGCAGTCCGGCAGCCGGAGCCGGGCTGAGTGGTAAGTCTCCAGCAGGCGACAATCTAATTGGAACTGGCCCGAGTGTATTTTGCTATCTGGGAAAGCTCTCTCTCTCTCATTCACGCGCGCGCACTAACATACACACCACACAAGCACCAAGCACACACACAGGCAATGCTCGCTCTCTCTCTCTCTCCCTCTCTCTCTCTCTCCCTCTCTCTCTTTCTCTCTCTCTCTCTCTCTCATTCGCATAGCAATATCCGCGATATTGCTAGACAGCCCGCTCCCGTCCCAAATTAAACCCGTTACCGTCCGCTCCCGCGATTTATTCGGAAATTTATTCCCGCGCCGCAGAAATCTGGTCGGGTCACGTGGGCGCCCGCGGGACAGCCGCGGGAATGCAGACCTCTACTTGGAAGCAATGCCAGTAAGCTTCGGGTGTAAGTTTGTCATATCAATGTAGGCGCGCGACTTGCGTGATGTGCACATAGAAGCGACGCTCCATTTTCCAGGCGCATCTAGTTGAAAACACCTGGGGCCTCATGTATCAACGCTGCGTACGCACAAAAACTTTGCGTACGCCAGGCTTCACGCTCAGAATCGCTCACGTTTGGATTTACTAACGATGAAATGAACGTGGGAATGTGCGCAGCTCCACGCCAACTTCATGGCTGGCATACGCACATTTTTTTGTGCGTGTCTGTTTTATTTCCATTGGCGACTCCTAGAGGCAGTTCTACAAAGTGAGCTGTGTAATGGCAGCTGTATGAGACGGGTTCATCTAGCAGGTATATAAGGTTTCCACACCATGCAGTTGACCAGCCAAACATTAAACCGCAATTTGCAGCGGTCGCCTGTTTTCCCAATGTATTGGGAGCGATCTACTGCACACGCATTGCTATAAAGACACTATCTGAAGATGAATTTGCATACGTGAATCAGGAACATTTCCATTCAATAAATGTGCAAAAAAATATGCACAGACTTATTAATGATTCCTACTTGTCTTCCTCGTAATAAATAGTAGGCAAAAGCTGATATGTAGCGGGGGGCAAAAAAGAAGAATGACCTCATCAGACGCTGGAGTTCATGCTCGAACATGTCAAAATATGTTGACATGCGATTTACGAACTGCGCCACCCAGACTGTTAAGGGTACTACAACATTTTGCACCTATAAATCACACTATTTCTTTTTTAAATTCACTCAGTGCGATGTTCAGACCCAACTGTGTTAACCGCATCAGCTAAACTCTCCCACTCTATTTTTTTCTTTTGTTGTTAATTCCGGAGGACAAACTTGCAAATAACACCGCTTTTCTCCGGTCTACCTCCGAAAGCAGCACCTCCAATTCACATTCTGTTCAAAGTTTCTCTTCTTGCTTGCTTTTGCCGTTGCTTTTTCGTTCGGTTTTGCCAAAGTAGAGTCATTAGCATATTCATACGGGGGAGGAGGCAGGGAGGGGTTTTGCGCTCGTTCATTCGGATGTACAAAGAATATGCGTGGGATTCGGCGTACGCAGTGTTTCATACATCTGAATGTTTTAGTATGATTTCCACGCAAGTCTTCGTACATGAGGCCCCTGAACTTTTCTGAATCGTCGCGAGCACACTGCGATTTATGTAGGTAGAACTAACCAATCTGCTTCGCACTTTTTATGGAATATCATTTCTGTAATAACGGCAGACTAATTACCTCGGTCCCACTTTATATTAAGTGTCCATAACTACTATGTACTTACATAAAATAAAAAAAATACAAGGTACTTACTGTGTTTATAATGTATTTGAGAACACTTGTGGTGCTTTGAGTTGGGATAGAGGTTGGGTTATGGACAGGTTTGGTGGTGTGGGTAGGTTTAAGGGTGAGTTAAGGTGTAAGGGATGGTCAACAGTGTATTTACAAATGTAATTACAAAAGTTAAATACAGATGTAATTACATACATGTATTTAATCAAGCATAAGTACACAGTAAATACATGTATTTACACAATAAGTACATTGTAACAAACTATTAGTTCCTATGTAAGTACATATTAGTTAAGGCCACTTAATATAAAGTGGGACCATTACCTCAGACAAACAACACTGCAGTGCTTTTTACTCTTCTCTCCATAAACTTGCATCAGAGCTGCAGCTATGAATTGCCTGTTTGTCATGCTCTGAAAAAACGATTGATGGTCACTTCAGGTCAGAATAACAACACATGCAAAAGTTAGTGCCGTATTGCAGCAGTGAGGAGATTGTAAATTGAAAAAGGATGCACATTTAAATAAATATAAATGTGAAACGGGTTGTTCATGTCTCCATTCAGGCACAGTACCAGAGCTGGGTGCTGGACTCCTGCAGGAATATTGTGGCTATTCTTGAGGATTTGCCGTCTTTACGGCCACCGATTGACCACCTCTGTGAGCTTCTGCCACGGCTGCAGGCCCGCTACTACTCCATTTCATCATCTTCAAAGGTCAGATATGTTTGCTTCATGCTGGAGATGGAATGTGTAACCACTTGCTTTTATATTTGTTTTAGCATTCCTAAAAAGAATACTCTGTCCCCTGTGGGAATTGTTTGACTCATTCAGCTTCAGCTACTCTTAAAGGAACACTACTACTTTTTTTTTTTTTTTTGGAGTGGGGGGGTTGATACAGTTAAACAGTTGAGTTTTACCAGTTTTGATTGCATTCAGCCAATCTCCGGGAATAATGGGAGCACTTTTGGCTTAGCTTAGCACAAATCATTGAATTGCATTAGACCGTTAGCATCTTACTCAAAAAAAAAAAAAGAGTTTGACATTTTCCTATTTAAAGCTTGGCTCTTCTGCAGTTACATCGTTCAATATAGGGTTGCACCGATATAATTTTTTGGAAACGATCCGATCCCGATACCAAAATTCTGAATATTAACCGATACAGATCCGATCCCACTACTGTGTCTTTTTTTGTTGTTGTTGTTTTAAGTATAATACATGCCTCCACTATTATAAAACACAGCTTATAAACACAGAATATAGCTCACGGTCAAGATCGGATTTGGATCGGTACCAGCTGGTTGATATCCAATCCAGCAAAAATATGTGATATCGAACCGATATCCGATCCAAGTATTGGGATCAGTGCATCCCTAGTTTACCGAGATAAAGTTAAAAGTTGCTATTTTCTAGGCTGATATAGCTAGGAACTATATTCTTATTCCAGTGACCGAGAAACGTTGATGTAGCATTGTCACTATAGCCGTGGACAAGTTCCTTAATGGGATTATAGTCCTAGCCATATCGACTTAGAAAACAACAACTTTTCGTTTTCTGTCAGTCTTCAAACCTGATGAAACTACAGAAGCATCAAGATTTAAATAGGAACATTTTTAAACTTTCTGTTTCGCAAGATCCAAAAAAAGTTTCTTTAATTTTTTTCCTTTTTATGTATTGTAACTTTCAGTTCTGTAAATGCGAGACGCACCACACTTCGTCTTTGTGGACTTTAAAATGAGCAGTGCTCTGCGGTTTCTATGTTGCTAGGCAACTGCTATTTCAATGCTGTTTGTGCTGGAGCGCATGACCTCGGGCACTTTTTTTTTTTTTTTTTTTTTGAAACTGCAGGTACTCATAGCAATCCATCAAATAAAGTAGGCGCAGTGAGAACTTGAGGTGCCCGGGGCGCATGAACAGTGCACAAAACAATTAGAATAGGCCAATAGAAAACCATTTTAAAAAGTGACTTCTCACGCACAAAAAGACACATTCAGTGTGAGGCCTCAGGCTGTCATCTAAAACTAGACTGGTTCAGTTGCATAGTTCCCATGTGGTGTAAAAGCAGAGAAGTGTTTACAATCTGCGCAATCTTATTTGCATTTTAATAAAGTTTTCAAGTTTATAGTTTTTGATGAATCGTGATCAGTTTAATTTTTTTTTACACAAAGAAGATAAATAATATATATTTTTTGTTGTTATTATTACGTTTTAATTCATTTTATTTATTATTAATTTAAAAGTAATTTATATTTATTTGTACTTTTAATTAATTAAAATGTAACTTCAAACTTTTTTAATTTTAATAAATTAAATTGTATTTAATTTATTATTGATTTGTTCACTGTAATTTATATTTTAATTTTATTTTTATCCGTTTACTCTTTTATTTCTGCTTTTGTTCCTCATGGTGGATGTTCAGCCTGAATACATTCATTCAACACATCACACTGTCATCCTTGAGTAAAGGATGTCGGTACAAAATAGCACACATATAATGTTTTCTAACTCTCTGAAACGGATCCTTTTAGGCTTTAATCCTGTTTGTGTTATGTTGGTGACTGTCACTTTAAATTCAAATGAGATTGTGCTCTTCTCAAAGGAGGGTGGAGCTGAAAACACGCATGCACAATCTCATTTGAATTTAAAGTGATAGTCACCAACATAACACAAACAGGATTAAAGCCTAAAAGGGTCCGTTTCAGAGAGTTAGAAAACATTGAAAGTGGAGTATTTTGAGCTGAAACTACACACACACACACACACACCAGAGACATTATAAATGAACATTATAGCTCTCCTTAAACTAATGTAACCTTATTGTAAAGTGTAAGCCATTAATGTATGCAATATATATATATATTTGCATTTGCATTTTACCAGGTTCACCCCAACAGCATCCACATCTGTGCTGTAGTGGTGGAGTACCAGACCAAGACTGGCCGGGTTAATAAAGGAGTCGCCACAAACTGGCTGAAGAACAAAATGCCCACCGACAACGGACACAAAGCTACGGTGCCCATGTACATCCGCAAATCTCAGTTCCGACTTCCCTTCAAGTCCACAAACCCAATTATAATGATTGGACCTGGCACGGGTATTGCACCCTTCATAGGGTTCATTCAGGAGCGCGGGTGGCTCAAAGAACAAGGTGAAGTTTAACTCCGCTCTGCTGTTATAATCTTCTTTGATTTCATGATTTACATTATAATGATCATAATAATTCTCATTAAAGGGTTAGTTCACTCAAAAATAAACATTCAGTCATTATATATGCAATGTTGATATTATAGCCATGGAAAAGTTCCTTGAATGACATTATAGTTCCTAGCCATATCGACTAAAGGCCGGCTCACACTGTGCAATTTATTTATTTTTTTTATTTTATTTTATTTATTTTTTTTATTAATTTATTTTTTATAGTCCTGAACAATTGTAGCATGTCAGACTGCACGCACATGGCTCCGTCACACTGTAAGATCTCAGCTGCCATAAAGTCAGTCTAAATGTCAATGAAGACGCGCCAAACACGAAAGAAAACACCCCTGGAGTTTGACATCATCCACCCATGACACTTTCACTCTCCGGCGTTCAGAAATGATTCCTCACAGCAAACGTAAACAATCTGTAGCGGCGATTTTGCACACGGCGTGTCTCAATAATAAAACTAGGAGGTAAACACTGTTGACATTTCCCCTCGGTCGTTTGGATTGCGTCATCAAATTTAGTGTCACACTGCAGGAAAGTCTGAAACCTTCTGACACTGCCAGAACTTCATCTGAGGGAAAATCTGATCACAACAGGCACTAATAAGTGGCTGTCTGTAAACATGTCAAATTAACGATCACAGATTTTACTGATTTTATTCTAGGATTCAGGAATCTTTTAGGATTTCCAAATTTGTCTCAGATGACAAAATCGTGGCTGAAATCTCACAGTGTGAGCAGGGCTTTAGAGAATAACATATTTTCATTTTCTGTCAGTCTTCATATGTGATAAACCCACAGAAGCGTCCAGGTTTAAATAGGAACAGTTTTGAAACTCTTTTTTGCAAGATTTTAATGGTCTCAAAAAGTTTCATTAATTTCTCTTTAGGTCTATATATTGTAACTTTTCAGTTCTGTAAATGCAGGATGCACCACACTGCCTTTTTGATGACTAGAAATGAGCAGTGCTCTGTGCTTTCTATGTTGCTTGGCAACTGCTTTAACACTGGTGTTTGTGCTGGAATGCATGACATCAGGTGGGATTTTTTCTAATTCAATTTTAAACTGCAGGTACTTGTAGCGCTCAATAAAATAAAATAAAATAAAATAAAATAAAATAAAATAGAAGCTCCTCTTTACTTTTTCCAAACCTGTTTGACTTTCTTTCTTTGAATGGTTTGGAAGGCCCACCCCTCACTGACAAGTTTGTTTTCTGTCTATAAATGACAGTAGGATATAGTTGTTGTTTTTTTTTACTTTAACAGACTCCTATTTTTCCTAATTTATATTTTAAAAATTAGTCTTGTTTTAATTTTTTCTTTATTGCAAATTTTTAGGAAATATTTTTCATCAAAAAGTGTGGTGACATCTGACTAGCTAATCCAGCAAACAAAGAAGTAGTGCTTAAAATGTCACTAAAATGCAGTATTTAAATCTCAAAGTTAAATAGAAGCTGAGGCGTATAAATGCAAAAAGGTCAACTTAAAAAAAAAAAAAGAACCAGCCCTTTCACCAGGCTGGTTATGGGTCTGTAGCTTCTGCGTACCCTCTACCGTAAACGTCTGGTTCGCCTCTTAGCCTTTCTCTCTACCTTAACAACTGTTTGTGCAAACATAAGGATATCTGAATACATAAGTGAAGTGTTGTGTCTTCTACAATTAATGTCATTAAACCAACCAGGCACTACAATATGTATGTATGTATATATATATATATATATATATATATATATATAGAGAGAGAGAGAGAGAGAGAGAGAGAGAGAGAGAGAGAGAGAGAGAGAGATGTAGTACATTTACTTTTTTTTTCATAAATTTTCCTTCGGCTTAGTTCCTTTACTAATCTGGGGTCGCCAAAGCAAAATAAACCACCAACTTATCCAGCATATGTTTTACACAGCGGATGCCCTTCCAGCTGTAACCCAGCACTGGGAAATATCCATACACACTCATTCACACTCATACACTACGGACAATTTAGTTTATCAATTCCCCTATAGTGCATGTGTTTGAACTATTGGGTAAACCGAAGCACCCGGAGGAAACCCACGCTAACAGGGGGAGAACATGCAAACTCCACACAGAAATGCCAACTGACTCAGCCGGGACTCGAACCCATGGCCTGCTTGCAGTGAGGCAACATCGCTACCTACTGTTCCACCGTGTTGCCCTACTTTTTATTTTTTATTTTTGGGTATTTTTTTTTGTCGAGTTGTATGTTGTTGAATGATTGGGATGTTATGTGCACTTTATTTCACCATTGTGTAATTTAGTAATCTTCATTCCTGGTTTGTAGGAAAGGAAGTGGGAGAGACTGTGTTATACTTTGGCTGTCGTCACAAGAACGAGGACTTTCTGTATCAAGAGGAACTTGCGCAGTTTGAAAAGACTGGAGTTCTGACAACACTCAATGTAGCTTTTTCCAGAGACCAGGCAGAGAAGGTATTACACACACACACACACACACACACACACACACACATCACTGAGATCGCCATCAGATTGGGATCATTATTAGCCCTCCTGTGAATTATCCCAATTAAAGTTCAACATATTCAGGAATTTTTTCACAGTATTTCCTATACTATTGTTTCTTCTGGAGAAAGTCTTATTTGTTTTATTTCGGCTAAAATAAAAGCATTTCAAGTCATTTTAAGGTCAATATTATTCGCCCCCTTAAGCAATATTAGTTTTGGATTGTCTCCAGAACAAACCACTGTTATACAATGACTTGCCTAATTACCCTAACTTTACCCTAATTACCCTAGTGAAGCCTTTACATGTCACTTTAAGCTGAATAATAGTGTCTTGAAGAATATCTAGTCTAATATTATGTGCTGAGCTTACTTACTTTACTCTATTTTCATGCAGGTCTATGTGCAGCATCACCTGAAGAACAACAAGGAGGCAGTTTGGAAGCTGGTTCACACAGACAATGCCCACATCTACATCTGTGGGTGCGTAAACTACATGGCATGCCAGCACATTGCACAACACACATAGTTCCCTGACATTATCCTCATGTTATACCTATAGCCTAGAGCCCCATCTGCTGTTAAACACTAGCCTAGAGCGCCGTCTGCTGTTAAACACTAGCCTAGAGCGCCATCTGCTGTTAAACACTAGCCTAAAGCGCCATCTGCTGTTTAAAACTAGCCTAGAGAGCTGTCTGCTGTTTAAATCTAGCCTAGAGCCCCGTCTGCTGTTTAAAACTAGCCTAGAGCGCTATCTGCTATTTAAAACTAGCCTAGAGCGCTGTCTGCTGTTTAAAACTAGCCTAGAGCGCCGTCTACTGTTTAAATCTAGCCTAGAGCGCCATCTGCTGTTTTAAACTAGCCTAGAGCGCCATCTGCTGTTTAAAACTAGTCTAGAGCGCCGCCTGCTGTTTAAAACTAGCCTAAAGCGCCGTCTGCTGTTTAAAACTAGCCTAGAGCCCCATCTGCTGTTTAAAACTAGCCTAGAGCGCCATCTGCTGTTAAACACTAGCCTAGAGCCCATCTGCTGTTTAAAACTAGCCTAGAGCGCCATCTGCTGTTTAAAACTAGCCTAGAGCGCTGTCTGCTGTTTAAATCTAGCCTAGAGCCCCATCTGCTGTTTAAAACTAGCCTAGAGCGCTGTCTGCTATTTAAAACTAGCCTAGAGCGCTGTCTGCTGTTTAAAACTAGCCTAGAGTGCCATCTACTCTTTAAAACTAGCCTAGAGCGCCATCTACTCTTTAAAACTAGCCTAGAGCGCCATCTACTCTTTAAAACTAGCCTAGAGTGCCGTCTTCTGTTTAAATCTAGCCTAGAGCGCCGCCTGCTGTTTAAAACTAGCCTAAAGCGCCGTCTGCTGTTTAAAACTAGCCTAGAGCGCCGTCTGCTGTTTAAAACTAGCCTAGAGCGCTGTCTGCTGTTTAAAACTAGCCTAGAGCGCTGTCTGCTGTTTAAAACTAGCCTAGAGCGCCGTCTGCTGTTTAAAACTAGCCTAGAGCGCCGTCTGCTATATAAAACTAGCCTAGAGCCCTGTTCATTATTAAAACTAACCTAGAGTGTCGCCTACGGTTAAAATCTAACCTAGAGCACTGACTGTTGTTCAAAACTAGCCTAGTCTAAAACCTCACATCTACATCTATGGGTGTGAAAACTCCTTAACATGCCACCACCTTACACAACACACAACACCTCCCTGAAGCGATCCTCACGTTACACCTTATGTTTTTCCTCAGAGATGCTCGTAACATGGCTCGCGATGTGCAGACCGCCTTCTACGAGATTGCAGAGGAGCTGGGCGGGATGAGCCGGCCTCAAGCTGTAGACTACATCAAGAAACTGATGACTAAAGGACGCTACTCGCAGGACGTCTGGAGTTAAACAACCCTTCAGAGCGACAACATCCCTGATGTTGGGGGTTGTATTAGTATGAGTTTAACCCTTGTGTGCTGGGGGGGTTTGGGGGGGGGGGGGGGGTTTGAGGCTTAATTTGGCCACAACTTTCTTTGTGTTTCAGCCAATGGAATGATTTTTGTTGACAAATATTATTTTGGGAAAATGCTTCGAATTATTTTTCAAAATTCAACAATATACTCAAATTGACTACTCTTTCTTTATGATGGGGGCTGTTTTTGACCCATTGGCATCCATTATAATGACTTCTTTGAATGCAAAGCCATGCCAACATACAATCACACATTCTAGATTGTTGCTGGTGTCATTTTTACTGTTGATGTTGATCATATGCCATCATGGCTTTGCAATCAAAAATATCCTTATAATGGAAGCCAATGGGGCAGAAACAGCCCCCAACATAACCAAAGAGTAGCCAGTTTGAACAGTACACAAGGGTTAAATGTGTTCGCTTCAAACATTCTGACATGTTTGTCCGAAAGAAGGGAATATTGGAGAAAAAACAAATATTTAAAGAAGCGACTATGTAAAATAAAGGTCTTACCATTCTAGCTAGACACATTAAGCATGTAACGTTAGGATCACATACGTTTTAATATTCACTAAATGCAGTGGAGTTGGCATTATTACTGAATTTATATTTGGATCCATGCTCTAATGGTACCTTATAAGCACGAAGAGACTTTTAACTTGTATTGTTGAACATTTTGGGCAACACTTTAGTTTAAGCAACAATTCACACCATTTACCACTGGCTTATTACCTGCATATTATCTGTTTATTAGCACTTATAAA